CCTATTCTATAGATAAGTAACTTTTTTGTATAGCAGCCATGTTAAAGCATGGGCTTATAAGTGCAACTTGTTAGATTCATACTTCAGAGTATCTTCTTTAATGTTCTGCATCACTGATCTGTTATGGGGAGACAACATTTTTGGACACTCTTTGGGCTACAATACAATTTAGGCAATTGTATTTCTTTGCACTTTGAGAAATAGATATGAATACAATAAGTTAACTTCTCCCAAAGCTATTACTACAATCTTCCAATCATAATATCACACTCCCATTTTCCTTCAGTAGCAGGGAATTTGCCAACTCGGCTTGATCTGGTGTCAGCCAGCATGCATTGCACTAGACCACAAACCTTTCAATAACCTATTATCATTCCAAATTTGTTCATTTTCCCTGCCCTAAATTTGCCATTCTGTGTGGATATATATATATATATATATATATATATATATATATATATATATATATATAATCATGATAGCATAATGACTGTTGTGTGTTTGAGAGCTTTATATAGCTTTGCATAGATATATATATATTTATTTGTTATATCCACATTTCTGCATGATACTATCCAATTCAACTAGTGGGAGTGTTTCAAGATCTCAAATTTTGTATAATTTATACATATTTCATTTTGTTTTTAACAATTTGGTTTCTACCCCAGAAAAGCCAATCGTCCTTGGCGAGCAGGTTCATCAGGTTTCATTGTTTTCTCTTTTGTACTTTTAGAGTTTTTGTTTTATGTTTCCTTTTTTTCTCTTTCCAGTCTGCCGTGAAGGGCGTGACCATGGGCGGGCTCAACGTGGTGTCCATTACAGACTGTACACCCATCATCTGGAATAATTCTCCACGCCCTCGGAAAGCCAAGAAGCTGTAGTAGCTTCCATTGCAGAGTTACATCGTTGCCATTCATGTGTGTGTTATTCCAACACTTTCATTCCCAAAGGGGTATTATTATGGCCCAAAGCAATGTAGTCAGGGGAAAATTTTCTTTCCCATCCCATGCCTTTCCCCCATTTCCCTCATCTTCCTTCCTGCCTCCCATCCGCAAAGGAGGGAGAGGGTGGGGGATGCTTGATGGGGGGGAGAGGGGCAGAGATTAATGATGATTCTAAGGAATATTATTAAACTGATTATTAACTGCATTATTTTCCAATCATGCGGAATGTCTGATGCATTTAGATTAAAAGAATTTCCATGTACAGTTCTTTTGTTAATAATTTCAAATAAATAAAAGTATTTATTGCAATCTATATTTCATTTTCCATTCCCGTTTATTGGGGGGAGAGTGGAGGGGGGAAATAATACATAAAAGACAGGAGCATCCATACACCTCTATAATATTAGCGTTTATTCGGACCTTATTATTTCTTCCCTTGCTTTTGCTGTTGTGTATTTTTGTTTTTAGTTTATGTTGTCCTTTTTGGAGCCTTGGTGTGAGTTAGTTGTTTTTGAAGGCTGGAGCCGGGACGACGTCATCGCGCTGAGGATTGTGGGTAGTATAGTGGGAACATGGCTGACGGACTTAGCTCTGCCACGGCCTGAAAACCTCCGTGAAAATCTCTAAATTTCCGCGGCATCCGTTCACACAGCGGCCTGTGTAGTATTGCAAGTGTTGCTTAAGAATGTAGTGATCGTGGTGTTTTATCGTTAGAAAAGCGAGCGCTGAGGAAACGCGGCGAAAATCCGATGAAACGGAAATTACGACTCAGCCTCAGGGACGAGCAGGCCGTAAAATGGCCGACCGGCAGCCATCTTTGACGAGCACGTAACTCGGAGCTTGCGAAGGCCCGCACTGGCCCCAGGCGGCTCTAGTGACCTGTGAACGCTTACAATTTAATGTTAATTTATATACTAACTGTGAATTTGCTAGAAAATATCGTGTGGAATAAGAGAAAATAGAGGAAGAGGAGTGGAGACTTGTCCGATCTTGGCGAGGGACTTCCCCTGAGCCGGCTAAGGATGAGGGAGGTCAGTGGCGTTTGTTTACATCAGCTGATTTCTGTTTACGTCGGTTAAGCTAGCATTCACGTGCTGGGGCAGCTAGGGTTGGATTTACACCTTTTTTCCCCTTTTTGGGACTCTGCTTACCGTATGGAATCGCGTACTTTAGTGTGATTTTTTGCAAAGTTTACTGCATTTTCTTGCGTTTTCCCCATTAAGTGCTAGTGAATTTTGGATATTTTTTGGCGTTTTGGTGCATTTGGGGATCGACCACAGGGAGATGGAGTCATGATTAGGGTCTAGACCCCATAGCTGGGGACTTCAGTTCAGGATTTGATGAGATTTTGGGACTTTTTGGTCATTTGTTTACGGTTTTCTTCAGCAGTTGCCAGGCAAGTGCGCAACGAGTCGAATGAATTTTCTTTTGACTTTTGCGTATTTTGGCACGCTTGGAGACTAGCATGATTGATATAAGGTTATAAAGTACAATTCTGAACACCTAGACTAAGGTACATTTTTTAGTAAGATTCGAAATAGCAATAGCATTGGATATCGACTCAATGCGCGTTCTGGAATTTGTATCGACGCACAAGTCTAGGGTTAATGTTAATGCACTTCGTTGCTATTCTTTTCTTGTAATTTTGATCTACTTTCAGGAAATGCTGTCTTGAATTTTCTACCAAATGTTAATAGGGGGGAATGTTAATATTCTCAACTAAATATGGTTTGTTACTCCTGTTTCAATATCGTTAACTCTTGAATGTTCGCAGTCATAGATAGTATTAGCCTATTTTTACACACTGAAGACTTGCTTATTAAATAAGGATTTTATCTTGGTTTTGACAGCACAGTATGTCACTGGTATTGTAGAAAGACTCCTAATTCTTGTTCATTATTTGTCTTCTTTATGCATATTAAATAAGGATTTTATCTTGCTTTCTACAGCACAGTATGTCAGTGGTATTGTAGAGACTACAAATTCTTTTTCATTATTTGTCTCCTTTATGCATTTCATTTTATTTGGTTATTTTTTTCTGTTTAGTAGTTCTTATTGGGATTAATACACTTCATTGTACAATTTTTTTCTAATTCTGTAATAACTTCATTGTAGGTGGGGTATTAGAACATTTATAAAAAACAAAGAAACAAACTCTGTGGTGTAAGCTTTGTATATAAGATTGTTTTACATCCCATTGACAGAATAGTAACTATCATATGAAATAGGACATTTCTGGGAAACCATTGTAGCATCTTATAGTCAACTTGCCTTGGTATTCTTTCCATAGAGCAGTGAATTAAATATACACAATCATAGAACAATTCTGTATAACATTTAATGTGAACATATTACTCCTTTGTAATAAATCCTTGGAACAATATATCTTGTCTTGGGTAACAAAAAAAAAAAAAAAAAAAAAAAAAATGTAATTTTCATGTTATTATTGGGTACTTTGAGGATGGATATATTTCACAACTGTTCCTTTCGCATATTAATACGAACAACAAAAATTTTGTTTTTGTACCTGAGTCTTCTGGCCAATATGTGGTCTATGTGCCTAACAGCAAATAAAAAAACTACCTTGTTAATTCTGATAACAAAGTCTGTCCTTAATGGTTCTATATCTCCTCAAAATAAGGTGAAGGCTTGTGTGCTCTTGCCAGTGCCGAAAGGTATTACTGCCTAGGACACTGCTGACTAGTAGGTCACTAGAAGACTGTAGCAAGTTATCAGTGGCTTGAATGGATTGTTAAAAAAAGATCTTGAGCCTTTTGGATTCACTGGCAAGGGAATTCCCCCAAAGACTTCCTTTTACAGTAAGGATGGGATGGTGTAGTGATAAACAAAATACATAATGCATACTATAGAAATGTTTTTTTTTGGTAGAGTTATTGATGACACATTCAGATTTATAATGTTTGTAAGCAAAAGAATGGTTTCATAGAAGTCCAAGCTTCAGACTAAACCTTCACTTAAGAAGTATAGAAGTTTATGTAAATAAAGAACACATTTTTATTACAAAATTTGCTGTATATAATACCTTTCAATGAAAATCCAACATAACTACATCTGTACAGAAATGTTTAATGGAATTGGCAACAGTAAGATCATGAAAATCATAGACTTGGAAGAGAATTGTTGTTGCAGGTAGTCTGACCTTGGAAGTCCTGAGCATGAACATCTCTGTTTACACAGTTGGAATGTGGGACACACTTCTAACTGTAAAAATAACTGATCATTCAAGCATAGCACCAGATGCCACAATAGTAAAAGTTCTTCACTTTAATTTGTATATTTTAAGAAACTGGATGAACATTAATACAATATATTTACAATGTAGAAAAGTACCTGAAAAACATTTTCTGTATATGTACCAGCAAGTTCTGTATAATTACTTTTCTCTCTCTTGGTTATGCACACTTGTTTTTCTTTAGTGTTACTATCTACCCTCCTTTCTGCCTTTTGTATCTCCCATTTTCCCACTTCAGTGAACCTAAAGTTCAAAGGCTAAATGAGACTGATACCAAGATCTGCATTTTGTAAAATAAACTTTTTTAAGGAATGAAAAGTGTAGCTTTATTTACTTTTCATGTTAAATACTACCAAGCTCTCTTACTCTTGCCAAGAATGCAAGTGAGCCCATAGTTTTGGCAGCTCTGATGGTTAGTATAGTTCTTTTGTTCTTGCTATGATTCTTTGATGATAAATCTCCATAACAGTATACTTAGAACCATAGTTTCAAACCAGGAGTTTGAGTTTACGAAGTTCCACACTGCAATATTTAAATGAAACAACCATTTGATCTGGTGATTACAAACACAGAGTAGAAGCTTGTATTGCATATGTCAAGAAATAATGGAAGTATGAACACACAAGAGGTGCATCCACATGAGTAAATACGGTCATCACGTCACAGTCCAGGAAACGCAGAGCCAAATGTGTAGTCATAAACAGAACCCAAGGGCAAAACACTGAAATGGGCGTGCCGGATGAATGGTTGATCTGGCTGTTGAACAGAACATGAATGTATCTGCTAGTAGGTGCACAGGATTCCAACCACCAAATGTTATAAGGTGCTAATTCTTCCTGCATGGGCATTGGTTTTGCTCCATACACAAGTGTTCAAAATAAAGGAAATCTACAATTACAAGGTGCTTCATTATTATCAATTTTGCTATATTGTGACTGGTTGATTTATTTTCCTATATTATGGGTTTCATTTCATGGAAGGAGAATAAAAGATACACAATAGTGATTTTTGATGCAACTATGAACATGATCATCAATTTTTTGTAATATTGTAGTACTAACATTCCAGTAATTCAGGTTTAAATCTTGCTTAAAAAGAAACTTTCAAGTCACCTAACTAGAAATTTTGCTCCAAAACATTAAATGGATTTCTTGTTAAGGAACACAAGGTGGAAGTAATCTCTCCTTTTAATAGAATTAAAAGATAAGTAAATGCAATAATTCATTCCGATTTGGATGGAGTTTGAATACTGATTGTGAAGGCATCGAAGGGGCTTACGCAAATGTGTCCTTGAGGCAACATGACTGGCATAACTGTCAAGCAAGGAAACCTGTACCCTTTATTGTTTTTTTTTTTTTTTTTTTTTTTATTTTATTTACAAATCTGCAAAGTTCATCTCTTAAGAAAAAAAAGATTTGGAATTCAGATTGAAGATGCTTTTCTACATGGTTCTCAGTGTAGGCCTTCATCTTGTCAATCAGTTTTGTAGATGTGACTCCCTGCATTTTTTAATAAAGTTTCTTATTTGAAAACTTGATCACAATGATGAATTTTCATGTAAATTGATGATATAATAAACCTATTTTTAGAGGAGATGAGATAAAAAGAAGTATCAGAAGGATGCCACATTTGCCTGGCATAGTTATGGTATATTCTAAGTAAAAAGAAATTATTTGTATCTCTCTCTCTCTCTCTCTCTCTCTCTCTCTCTCTCTCTCTCTCTCTCTCTCTCTCTCTCTCTCTCTCTCTCTCTCTCTCTCTCTC